TCCAATGAAGTTAACCAATGAAATTCAATTATAGTGTCATACACACGAATTTTATTGGTTAATATCAATTGAAGATCGACATTGGAACATTCCAATAGCATTACAATGTTCCAATTGCACAATACTGCTAATAAGTTTCACCAACAAGTATTTTTATTGTCAATATAAAAAAAGGATAATCATCTTCAGAAGTATCATTCTTCCACATAAGCAATTTAGTATATAAATAATTTGAGAGCATTCTAGTCATTGTTAAAAAACTGGAGAACTCAAGATCAAATTATTTACACTATTCAAACTTCTAACATCACCATGTTGGACCGAGTCTTCTCAAACTTGCTCTTTTTGTGGCAAGTTGAATAAACAGATTTATTGGCAATTCCGTTCAAGGTGTTGCTTTAATAAAAATAAAACCAGAGCCAAGTAAGCAATTATTTACAGACTGCAGCATATATAAAATTTTTTATATTGTTTATCTTAAACAACTGAAATATATTTATATTCTCTAAATCAATAAAAGAAGTAAAAGAAGATATCTTGCTGATTAGATCTTTCAAAAACTGAATATGTTTCTAGTCTCAATATATTTCCAATATTTGGTAATTCATTAAAGTGAGTATGATGGATGATTGTAATTGTTGTTTATTAAAGACAAGTGATGTGGTTCGTGCACTTAAGTAATTGATCTTAACTGTTTTTAGAACATCCATAATATATTTCCCTAGATGACCAACACCCTAATAAGATGACAAAATTCCAAAAGGTGCAAAATATATGCTTTAGATAGTAAGATGAAGCCATTTTATCAAATAGCCTGGTGAAGTCATTAGAGATACCACTTGTAAACAAAGGAGAAGAAAAAAATTTTATATGCAATCATATTAAGTATGGAAATTTTACTACACCTAACGGTTGAGGGGGCACCAAAAATTTTTATAATTGCCTAGGAAAGTTTTTGACCCAACTGGTATATGCTTGGGAACCAGGGTTGACAAATGTGTGGTCCATTAATGGTCTATTGGTGGTCCATTGGGTCCATTAGTGTAATACTTTAACCATATTTAGTATTTTGTTAATGGCAATGGACCAGTCCAAAATCCATCTGTTCTCAATGGACAAGTAAATTTGCCAACCCTGTTGGGAACTACCCTTATATGGGCAAAAATCAACAAAAATTAACAAATGTTCAGGTGGTTAAATCAATTTGTGATTTACTATTATATAACATTAAGGGGATCAATATCGAATATAATGGTTATTATTATTATTTTTTCATTGTGAATTTTTATTAAATAAAAACTTTAATGTTGATTTTTTTTTCTGTTGATTTATCAAATAATAAGGACCACCTGAATCCACTCAAAATCGGAACGGAGGACAGTCTGGACCAAAACATTGTCTCAATTTAATGGCATCCACGAGTTTTAGATCTCCTAATTACAAATGGGAGTTCATGTTTTGCAAAATAAGCAATGGACCATATTCACTTGATTGGAACCATTATTGGGAAGATGAATTAAGACTTGGAAAATTTTCAAAAGACACATGGAACAATGTATATCTTTTTACTCAGAGATTCGATGCCTCATATCAGTTATTAAAAGACATGATGGATGAATTGAAATATGTAATGATACATTTTTACAAAAAAAAAAATGGATATATATGTATTAGATTGTAAAATGAAGCCATTTTGTCAAAAAGAGCATCCCAACCACCCCTCCATGTCTAGTAGGGTGTGATAACTTATTTCCGACATTTATAACACCTGATGGACCAACTTTTTAAATTTTGACATAATTTATGGATTCTATATATATTATTTTTCTCTTTCTATTGGAGATATAGGATATTAGTAAAAATTGTTGAATTTATTTATATTATTAATCTTGAATATAGGGAATTATTAAATATGTATATACAATTTAATTAATGTATAATAATTATTCATTTTAAAATTAATAAATCACATACAATAAAGTTTGAAATACTGTTAAGAAACTCTAATTGTGATTTAAATTGTTCCTGGAAATATCATCCTGTTATATCATATTAAATTCCATTTTATTAACATTACTTGTCCCATGGAAGTATGATCATAGATATAAACCACTGTTGAAATGTGGTTGATCAAAATAATATTTTCCTATATAAATATATGTAATAAAGATCATAAAAAAGAAAATATAAGAGATAATATAGAAGGTAAATGGGGTAGTGGTAATTATGTCAATACAAAAACTTATCATCTCAAATGTTGGGGAATTATCAGAATTCACTACAAATAGTAAATGTAAAAGGATAATGTAATCAATAAATATTATATAATTTATAATGCATAAATCATTTTTATTGACATGTATATTTATATGACATTACAAGTAATAATTAACCACGAGCTTACATGGGAGGAATGCACAGGACCCAAAGCCATTTATTATGCAACCTATTCTTTAGGCTCACGATTACTAGCTATTATTATCATTATTTTCATTATTATCATCTAAAATTATATTTCTACCATTGCTATTTGAAAAATTATTTATACTACTACTGCTAATTGTAATGGAATTATCTTTGTTCTTACCCTCTCTCACAACCCAAGCTTTGATTTTATCTAAAGAGGCGTGTTGTGGTGATTTCTGGTGGCTGAGCTAATCCTTATCTCTTCAGATAAGACATTATATAATTTCGGGGGATAAATTTTTTCTCTTGTTAATATTCAGAAACGTAAAAGCATATATTTTTCCGCAAAAATATTCGCAAATTTGCGCAGCATCATGAAAATGTCCAATTTTATTGGTGGGTTGGGTGCGTGTTATCCTTATTTAGAAATTGATTTGGCGATTTGCGGATATTTTTGTGGACAAATACATGATTATCAGAAATGTGGTTTGGTTAAATAAAATATAAGGAGTTACATGACTAAATTTGCAATTGTTTCACAAACCTCCAATTTGGGCCCCACTTCTCCATTTCGCCTCAGTACACATTTTATTGATTTCATTGTTGAGGGCCAAAATTGCTTTTTCGAGTTTTTTATATATAATTTGATCAACTGGAGGCGAAATTGGGGTTGAAGCTGGCATTGGAGCTGGAGATATATTTTTGTGCAAATATATGAATTATTGTATTTTCCGAGATAACGGGATAAATCATCTCCATTGTTAATATACCCTGGTTGTATAGTTTGTAAATTGTGATTACAACAATGGAAATCGCAAATAAAAAATTATTTTGCAATTGATAAATCAATTAATTGTTAGTTTGAATATTCGATTTATGTTTGTTTTAATAATGATTTTTTTTACCCAAATTCCAGCGATTTTAACTTGTTTTTATATGTATTGCAAAACAGTAACTACGTTCTAAAACTAGACCTCAGTAACCAATTATGATATAAGGATACTTGGTTCTTTAAAATTTCATACTAAATTGAGGTAATAAATCACCTGCGATCATCTGCCAATTTGCTACATTTCATTTGTTTGTAGTGAAAAAAATAAGTTATCCAATCTTCACGACGAAATTATCCAAGCTATATGTTTGCACATAATTTCAAAGGTCAAGAATCATTGGTTTTCCAAATCACATTAGAAATTTATCTAATATGGACGATCCGTTACATTTGCCGGTCCTAATTATTTGTGGATTCATGCTGATAGGTAAAATCGAAAACTTTGGCACATCTCATATGATGCACAGGCACTCATTCGATGTCAAAAAATAAGCTTAATCGTTTTCATACAACAACAATAGATACCTCTCATTTATTCATTCATAAAACAGAGAAGATCTAATGATCACATAATAATACACAACATTAGATAAGACACTCTGTATTCTACGTAATGTAATTTGGCAAATATATTATAGATATTTTTTGTAATCTAATTCTATATTCCTTCTAAGATCAAATCTGCAACATCTATTTAATTAATAATTTTTTTTGATTCCAAATTGGATTGCCTTTATATAGATAGACCATCTTCGGAAATACAAATGAGTCAGAAATGGGTATAACAGTTCCATCATGCAATGTAAAAGTTTTATTTTGGAAATCCACTTTTTCCACGTTTGCTTGAAACCATGGCCAACCTAATACCAGTGCGGTTTCATGCACAGGTTCATCAGATACAAAAATTTCAGTAACTTCTACTTGTTTCCCATTTTTTATCTTTGGTTTGAAGAGAAGTATTTAGTTTATGGATCATACCTGATATAGGATACATACATGGTAGATTTTCAGGTTTTGTATAGGAAGTATTGATTTCCAAGTCAAAAAGACTTGCTAAGGTCTCATCTATAATATTATAATTAGTACTGGGTTGAAATGCAACTATGGCTGGTATATTATTAATTTCACAGGTTAAAGTTATCATTATGGCGTTTTATTATAACAGTGTATTTATTTCTTGATATTATTATTATGATATTTTAATTCTGGATTTTCTGCAAAAGTTGGATGACTCTAAATATTAGTATACCATTTAATAGGTTTCAGGGGAGCTAAAATTGAAGACAAGTATTTTTCTCACTTCCCCCAACTTGAATTCCAATAATACTGAAATCGTCCTTATTTGATAAACACCCCTTATATGTCCAATACACACCATCGTTCATTTCCCTCCATAATTTTACCAGGTCATTTTGCTTTTTTTGTTCATCGCAAATTAGATGCGAGCTTTCAGTAAATAATACTTCATATAATCTATCGTTACTAGTGGTAATGAACATAACATCTGGTCGCTTTCCAATTCCTCTTTGGTCTTTACTGGCCATGCTTTGGCACTCCGCTGTGCTAATAAAACCAGATTTTCCAATCGAGAGGCCTTTTGATGATGCACAAATCATCGGAACTATTACATGAGTCATATAAGTCCTTTCACTTTGCGACTTGGAGAACTTCGGACTGAAGGCTGGATTTTTCCAGATATCTCTTCTATAATAGTATTGATAAAAAACCCATTTTACAGGATCAATGGTCATTTCGAAGAAATATCCGAATTTTGCAGAATATTTTGATAATACTTACAATATTTCAAGGATATCTTTTGAAATTTTTGTAAGAACTTCATCAGATTCCTTCCAGCTCTTATCATGTGAAAGTCTTCCCATTGGAATATCTGTAATGCTATCTCTGAAATTATTAACAAATTCATTGCATTTATCTCTGATACAAGAAGAAGCCATTACTTTCATGCGCTCCGTGGGATCCTTTTAGGTTAAAACCAATTGGGTTAATTTCTAATAAAAACAATAATAATGAAGTATATTTTTTACTTACCATAAAAAAGTTATATTCTTCTTGTCCCAATGTTCTCACCATGTCTGAATCAGTGCAAATTACTTGACTAGCAAGTGGATCCCGCCATGATAAATCTGAAATATTCTTCTTTAAGGGTGGAGTGATCACCATATCAAAAATCAGTTATACAAAATGACTAAAACAATTTTATGTTACACGATTTTATTTTGCAATTTAATAAAGTTATTTATAACAGATAATGTGTTTAAGTACTTCATGACTGTTAGTATTAGTATAAAAGACATATTAAAGCTTCAACTCCTTTAGTATATAAAAATATATGCCCACGAGCCTTCCTATTGATGCACCACGCGGTCAAATTTCAAAAATAGCGATAATCCGTTCATAAATTAGACCTTTTATTAGTATTCTGATTATCTGTTGAACAAAGAAAAAAAAAGATTTTTTTATCATATCCATAATTAATCTTTTGAGTAAAATGCATATTTAAGTTTAATCTGTCTCAGCTGCAAAAAATTATCAATGCAAATTAACTGATTATAATAATACTTATAATACTTATATATTATTTTGTGTTCGTGTAATATACAACTATGGCTACAAATAAAAGTTCTAATATTAATATAAATTATAAATAATTTTTAAAAATGAAAAACGCTTTAAATGAGAGCAAAAGGTGGTTAAAGAATTTTTTCAACAAAGTGGTTGATAAGCATCACGATGATACTTCTACTGACAAAAATGATGATGATGATGATGATGATGATGATGATGATGATGAGTATTCAAAGCATAATGATGATACCTCTATTGACAAAAATGATGATGATAAATATTCAAAGGAAAGAGACAAAGAAAATGGGGAATGTTTAACTTGTAATAGATATAATACTTCTTCATCATGGTGTCAATCATGTGATCCAAAGCTATTGCTATTAACTGAAGGATGGACTAGTGATAATGAAACATTAGATGAGTTGATTAAGAGTACACAAGTTAAAGCAGCTAGTTATTATAATTATTGGTATTTTCAATGGATTCCTTATAATGATCTAACAAATATTGAAAAGATAGGCGAAGGTGGATTTGCAACAATATACAAAGCTACTTGGTTAAATGGTGGGAAAAGTATAAATGATGAAAATAAAGGAATTAATAAAGATATGATTGTGGCATTAAAAAAATTACATAATTCACAGAATATTTCTGATGAATTTCTTAATGAGGTAAATTATTTTATTAATATTAATTTCAAATTTTTAAATCATTATTGTAATTAAATATTTATTTGTTTTTTTTTAGTTCAAAAATTATACAAAGCTTTATGATAAAGCAAATATAATTGATATTTATGGATTAACACAAGATCCAATTACAAAAGAATATATATTTGTAATGAATTATATAAAAGATGGAA